ATAAATTACGTTCCTGCCTCTTACTTTCTTCTCCACCTTTTTTTCCATAATGATGAAATCGTTTCATCTTGATTGTAAAACGTCAAATGACCACATTTGAAACGCCTTAGTCCCTATATAGTCTTGTCAGACCAGTGCATATATAAAGGGCTAGTGCCCGCCCTTTAAGTATTCATTTTTTCTCTCAATCCGATCAGCACGATGGAAGAACCCACGCAGATATAAAATCTGATTAGAGCTTTGCGAGATGTCATAAGATAGTTTTCTTCAGAGAATTCAACGAAATATTCTTCCTCCTTTCAAGATAACAGTCAAGATACTTGCTATAACTGTAAGAATAAAGGGCATTGGGCTACGGAAGCGTCAAAAATCAGTGTCAAAAAAGACAAAGTCGAGATTCCTGTTTTCATTGTCAAGAGAGAGGATATTGGTCTTCAGAGTGCCCTAAGAAACAACAGGAGCAATAGGAAAAAGAGTAAAATTAGGAACCCCGAGGCGTTCAGAATGAGAAGAAAAGAAGGAGGGAAAAAGAGGGAGAATGAAGAAGAGGAGGAAAAAAACTGTGAAACAAAAGAACTTTGAAAAACAGATTGTGAACCAAACACAGACACAGAAGTTTATGAACTTTTTTTTAAAAAAGAGTTGTGAATTGTATTGTATATGTTTGTACCAGAATATACCAAACTGAAAAGACTTGTCTTCTAGCTTTGATTTTTAAGATCTCTCTCTCTCTCTCTCTCTCACACACACACACACACACATACACACACATACACAAACACAAACATACATACTAGGGTTATACAAGAAAATTTTAGTTTTCATTGATATTTGGGGAAAAATGAATGTTAACTCTTTTCCAAAGAAATTGGTGGTCCCGAAAAGTACAGTTGAGTCTTTCGGCTTTTTAATGAGAACAAGCTCAGGAACGAGAAGCAATTCGTGTTAGCTGCCTTAAACCTTTGCCACGGCCAAGACCTACTTGTGGACTTGCCCCTGTCAATGAGTATAAATGACTAGTGTAGTCACAGGGTCAGGTTGTTTGACTCGAGGTCTTTTTTCTCTTGGGTTGTAATAAAGAAGTCTGATACAATTGTTTTAAACTTCTTAACTCAGCTAAAATATCTAACAGTATCGTAACCGTTTTCTTTCTCTCTTAGACTTTGTTTCTTTTTTACTGCTTCTTCTTCTTCTTCATGTCGTTTCCTTCTTGCCTCTTCTTCTCGTTCAAAGAGAAATGCCTGTTCTTCGTCTTTCTGTCGCTGTAAAAGTTTCCCTAATTCTTCTTTCTGTCTTTGAAAAAGATCGTCGACGCGTGGTAAAGGAGAAAGTGGCAAAGGTACTGGTGCCGGTACAAATTCTTGCGAAGAGAAAAAAATCTAATAAATCCCAGTTGAAAGCAAGTCCTTCGGGAAGTTGCATTGTCTTTACTTTAGTAGTCTCTACTATGCCATCGCTTTTCGTATCCACAGCTGGTGCAAAATGGTCATTATCTTCTTAGGTTCCGTCATGTCGCATCCATTCTCTGCGTACAAACGCTAGCGCACGTATATAGAGATTGTGACGTCACTGGTCTTCGGATTGGAAGACAGACTCCGCGAAGTGACTGAATTTTGTAACTTGTGTTGGGATTGGTCAACCATTTCAATCCGTTTCTACCCGGTCTTTCCCTATAAATAAACGTGGCTTATTTCTTTCCCTTAATCTATTCTCGTCACAAAGATGTTGATCGACGTTGAATCCTCTACTTGGGTATCGCCTCTGTTTTTCCGTAAGGACTTTCCCATGACTGTTAAAACAAAAATGGACTGTCATGCAGATTAAGGGTGCCACTGTTTGGAAAAGAAGATGTTTTGTAGAAAGACATGGCTGTTTCAAGCGAACCCTCATCTTTGGACCAGAAGTGAGATTCAGTTTAAGACAAGCTTCGATAAATTTGAGAAAGAAAAGAGCAAAGCGACAATAACAAACAACGGCCCATTTCAGGGCCACTTTCCATACCTCGAAAAGATTTTAATTCTCTATCTCTGTGGTTATCTATGTTTCTATGTCTCTATTGCATATACATATATATATATATATATATATATATGTATATATATATATATATATATATATATATATATATATATATATATATATATACCTGTGTGTGTATATGTCCCTACCTAGAGTCGTAGTGCTAGCTGTTCGTATTTAGGTCAAACTAGGTCAGCTTCTTGCTACACTGTTGCCAAGTGTCCAGTACCATGACGTCATGATACCTGTGTCATACCTCTTTACGCTGTACAGTCCCAGGGTGTGCTAGTCACTAATACAAAGTTCCAATAGTCGCTATATCGTCCCGGGATGTGCCAATTTGTGGAAAAAATCGTTGGGCCATATCGTCCCAGAATGTTTTTTCTTCTTTGGGCTCATTGCCGCCTTATCGTCCCCATATACTACTGCAGGAGGTAACTTAAGATCTGATCTATGAAGACAAACCATAAGAAAGAAAGAAATGTTACAATGATAATTGTTATTCCCTTCGCTATCATTCCGCGTTTTCTTCTGAGAAGTGTGGACAACATAGTTCGCGCAAATTTTGACATGAAGTAACATGCATTTATAAATTTATTATGATTGAATTTGTTCAAAACATTGAAAGGTCACATTTACTGCCATGAATGTGCATCTATGCTTCTAATGAAGCAGAAAAATTTTCAGTTTGTGATGACGGAGCGTGGCTTCTTTCATTCGGAGTCTTTTTAATTGAAAAAATGAGTTTCTCAGTAAAGAAGTTTCTCAGTTGGCAATGCTATATAAAAGCATATTAAATAAATAAATGAATGTTAGTTGCATCCACAGAAGAACGTTTTCTAAACATTACCACTACTGCAAGGCAAAACACGCGTCAGTCACGAGGCAGTCAATTAAGCTTTGCCAGGAAGTGCATTAGTGATCACATGAATACGTTACTGGGGAAATAAACCGTCCTTATTCTAATATTACGGAATGGTATATGCACGAAATGGCTATAATCAGTATTATTTAATTCATGACGAAAATTATCACAGCGTTTTCCTTCAATGCATTTCTTTTTGCAGAAGTTAAAGTTAGGAGATTCACAATTTTAAATTGATCATTGCCAAGAATCGTAGATATTTACTTAAAATTAAGACTGTAAGTATTCAAGACAGGAAAGCGTTGTACCTTCTTAAGAAAAGAAGGTTAAATCTTAAATTACCTTTTCACTGTCGGCTTAAATATGCAAATAGTTTTAATTCTTACATGAGATGGGGTTTTAAAACAAAATGTGAAACAAACTTGTTCAAACGTTTAAAGAATCTGAGATCTGAGAAAGTTGGTGTTTCAGGAAAACTTTCTAAATTGACTGATATTATTGTATACAATTTCATTTATTTCTAATCAGCTTTATTATTTTATCTAGTTTCACTAATTTTTAAATTAGCTATACTGGATGTGAATGTAGTTCATCATTGATAATTAATGAGTGTATTTCATATAAATGTGTGTTCCTTATTTGGTAATGTATACAGATTGTTTCCGAGTTTAAAATAACTGTGTATTGTGATGTGAAGAAATGTATGCAAGTTGTATTTTCTCGTATTATATTGGAGCATCGATTCTGATATTGGAATATAGATAAGTGATATTGAAGTATGGATTGTGATATTGGAGTATCGATTGTGATATTGGAGTATCGATTGTGATAATGAAGACAATCGGAGTTAAATTGCAATTACTTTGATAAACAGTTATATCGTCTATAGTTTATGTACCAGTGCAAATTGGAATGCTTATAATTTATCTCATATGTCGAAAATCGCAACCTGAATATAATAAAGAATTTGATATTATTAGTTGCGAACAGCTATGTTTAATAAGCGCAGAAAAAGTAAATATGCGCTCCCGTCAGGCAAACGGCGGACACGTACAAGTACCAATTGGCACATGGCTGAAACGGTACAAGAAAATATAAGAGATACCAGTAGCCGCACTATTGATGGTCTATTAATTCACCTGCAATATTCATATAAAATGTTAAAAGAAGAAAAAACTGATTTGGAAATAAACACTATAACAGCATGTCTTTCTTATAATTATAATGAATGCCGTATAAATGCACATTGACACTTTTAAACGTGTAACGTTTTTAAAAATTTCCAACCCTTTGGATTACCTATCTTGCATTATGTTTCATTTACACAGAGAAATATTTTTTTTTCTGGTCGTCTTTACATATGATAGGAACTCTTTACAGATGTATTTGGCACATGTACGTGAATTTAACAGATTCGTTTGGAATATCTACGTTAAACTAACGGATGACTCTTGGAATATCTACGTAAAAATAACAGATGTCTCTTGGCACATTTACGAAAAATTAACATATATCTCTTGCACACTTATGTGAAATTAACTGATTCTCTTGAAATACTTAAGTGAAATTAACGGATGTCTTTTAGCACACTTACGTGGAATTCTTCTAAGTAGTTAGATAATTATTCTTATCGCAGTTGGCAAACAAGAAAACATAGTAAAATTTTTGTCTTAAAATCTGGTATTTTTTACGTATGCGATAGCTATTTCAAATTAACCACAAACAACTCCAAAAAGAACAGACCGAAAACCAACCTTTTGTTAATTAAATGTAGACACACGCAACATATTACACAACTTCATTCTGAGCCAGTCTCTTCATCAATCCTTAATTTCTCTCACAGGTTACAATATCATTATTTATTCATAGTATCCCGACATGCAGATTTTCAAACACGCCTTTGAACTTTAAATCAAAACCAAAATTAACATTGAAGTATTGTGAATGACTCTGCCTGGAAAAAATCCTTTTTCGTTCTGTAAAGCTCAATGAAAAGGGTTCAGTTTTTCTTATATAAATAGGGTTTTGTGTTGCATATTTGGGCAACATTCATATTAGAGTTATGATCCTCTTCAAATGCATGGACAAGTTTGCTATTCATTTAATTTCTAAAACCGCTCCGGTAGCCAAGTGGTTAAAACGTCCACCTCGGATGTGGGAGGTCATGGGTTCGATCCTCGGTCGAGTCATACCAAAGACTTACAAAAATGGTACTAACAGCTTTCTCGCTTGGTGCTCAGCATTAAGAGGTTAGTGTTAGGACTGGTCGGCCTGGTGTCAGGATAATGTGACTGCTACATTTTTACGGCATGATGCGTCAGTTCCAGACATCACTAGAAACTACCACACTGCAGACATCGTAGCGATATGACTGAAAATGTTGTAAATCTACGTTAAAAATCATAATGACATCACATCATTTCTAAAACGGCTTCTTTAAAGTAAGTTCTGGTATTTCTAGCTTTCCTATTTTCAAATGATCTGCAATGCATGCGATATCAGGAATTGCAACAGATGAAGGGCATAAACTCTACTTCAGAGGAAGAGGGGACAATCATAGCATTGGATTTCTTGTCCACAAGGGCATTGTGGACAGCATTATGGGTTGCTGACCAGTCTCAAGCAGGCTCATTACCATCCACCTTAGGGCGACTCCCTTCAACATCACCAACATTCAGTCCTTTTCACCCACATCTAATTATAATGACAATGAACTGGAGGATTTGTATAACCAACTGCAACATGTCATTGACAACTCACCCAAGAAAGATATTATGTTAGTACAAGGAGACTGGAATGCATAGTTAGAGTTAATTCACAGACAAACTGGCAAGCACGTGTGGCCCCTTCTGCAAAAATAAATGAAAGAAAACCCAGGTTTATGGAGTTTGCTGCCTACAACAATATTATGCTAGCCAACTCATTCGGCCCTCACAAAGCATCTATAAGATGGACCTGGCACAGATGGACAACAACACAACCAGAATAACTAAATCTTGGTGAAGAAACGATTCTGCAAAGGACTTAATATCGCCAGAACACAAAGTTTTCCATGATTTAGTAATGACAACGTTTTGCTTCTGCCTGAAAATGATCAGAAAGCCTAACCAACTAAGAATCAGATTTGATCATGAAAAATTGAAAGATCTAAAAAGTCACAGAAGCCTTCCAAGCAATGATAGATGGTACATGTGCACCTTTGATAACTATGGACAGACATAACACTAACCTAGAGCCCTTAATAACCACAATCAACACAGCTGAGAATAACGCAGCTACCAGCTAGATCAGAGGCAAATATCGTCGAACAAAGAAACCTTGGATCACAAAAGATGTCCCTGAAATATGCAATAAAAGAAGAGAACTGAAAAAGGGGAAAAGGGAAAAGGGGATCATTAAGGAGTTTGATAATACAGGAGAAGCATGACAAAGGCAAAGAAATCCTGGATAGAAGACAATGTTGCAAAATCGAAGACAGCCTGAGTAAAAATGACAGCAAAATGATATATCAACTGGCATAAGATCTCACAACTCACAAAACAAGAGAAAACTACCACCATCCAAGACAAATCAGGAAAATTCCTTACAGAAGATCAAGAGAGCTTCCAGCGATTGATAGAATACTGTTCAGAATTGAATAATCATAAGACCCAAGGAGATCCAGCAGTACAAAATTGCCCTCAGGCAGAAGAAATTTATGACAAACCCATTCTTCGTGAATAAATTAGAATTGAAGTTACGTAGCTAAAGAAAATCAGTCAGCATTGGCAACATACCAGCAGAGCTCATTAAAGAAGGAGCAGAAGAGATAGTCACAGTCCTAACAACAATCTGCAACAAGACATGGCAGACAAAAGAAGCGCCCACCACATGAACCCAATCAGTGGTCATCATGATGCTAAATAAAGGAAACCTACAGCTTTGCCGAAACTACAGAAGAAGTCCACAACAGGATCCTATGAAGGCAAAAACAATCTTGTAGTGCACAATGCGAAGGTGCAGAAGAAGAATCAGACAGAAAAGAGGTGTGAATAGAACATTGTGGAGTGGACAGGCTTTGGATTTGGAGATTCCCAAAGGGCAGTAGAGAATATGGACAGATTGGTTGTAAAGTCAACTGTGGTGAAATAACGGTGTCTGGTTTAAAGGGATTGATGATGATGATGATGATGATGATGATGATGATGATGATGATGATGATGATGATGATGATGATGAAGACGACGACGACGATGGTGATGATGATGCAACCATAAAAGTTCAATTAATAATAAAATTATAAAGCAAGCAATGACAAAGTTAGTAACTAAAGGAGAAATCATTTCATTATAAGTTTCACTTAACATTAACTCGGTACACGCTTATTACAGAGGTCTATGCTTAATTGAATTTTTTTGTTTTCTTTTTGGTACAAGTTAATTATATATGTTTAATGCGGTCTATTTTTAGTTATATCTGTTTACCGTGACTTATACTTGTGGTCGGAGGTTGGTATACTCTATTTGCATCCGTTTACCGCGGTCTATATGTGATTTTTGTCAAGAATTTTTTGCATGTTGATTTGATTGTAAAGTATCAAAATTTGCGGCCACGAATTCAATAAAACTAGCTAACGATTATGATCATTATTTCTGTAAAAGAAAATAGTTCACATCAACACGGATAAAGTGTTAGACAATAGAGCTAGCAAATTTGTCCAAAGTTTGTTTTGCAGATTATTAATTGTAGGCAACAAACATAGGGCAAGACGTTTGAAGTTGCCTTCAAAATTGCCTTCAAAACTAAAGATTAGTAAACAAATTCTAATAGGACAGGAATATTTATTCACGCCATGTGTGTTGCAATTGTTTTTTATGAAGGCATATTACAAAGAACATGCAAATTAAATAGAATAGGCATATTGAAAGAAACATGTCAATTAAATAGAACAGGTATATTACAAAGAACATGTCAATTAAATAGAACAGGTATATTACAAAGAACATGTCAATTAAATAGAAAAGGTACAAAGAACATCTCAATTAAATAGAACAGGCATATTACAAAGAACATGTCAATTAAATAGAATAGGCATATCGCAAAGAACATGTCAATTAAATAGAACAGACATATTACAAAGAACATGTCAATTAAATAGAATAGGAATATTGCAAAGAACATGTCAATTAAATAAAACAGGTATATTACAAAGAACATGTCAATTAAATATAATAGGCATATTGCACAGAACATGTCAATTAAATAGAACAGGTATATTACAAAGAACATGTCAATTAAATAGAACAGGCATATTACAAAGAACATGTCAATTAAATAGAACAGGCATATTACAAAGAACATGTCAATTAAATAGAACAGGCATATTACAAAGAACATGTCAATTAAATAGAACAGGTATATTACATTACAAAGAACATGTCAATTAAATAGAACAGGCATATTACAAAAAATGTTAATTAAATAGAATAGGCATATTGCAAAGAACATGTCAATTAAATAGTACAGGCATATTACAAAGAACATGTCAATTAAATAGAACAGGTATATTACAAAAAAATGTTAATTAAATAGAATAGGCATATTGCAAAGAACATGTCAATTAAATAGAACAGGCATATTACAAAGAACATGTCAATTAAATAGAACAGGTATATTACAAAGAACATGTCAATTAAATAGAACAGGCATATTACAAAAAAAATGTTAATTAAATAGAATAGGCATATTGCAAAGAACATGTCAAGTAAATAGAACAGGTATATTACAAAGAACATGTCAGTTAAGTAGAACAGGTATATTACAAAGAACATGTCAATTAGATATAACAGGTATATTACAAAGAACATGTCAATTAGATATAACATACATATGAGAACATTGTTATATATGACTTGACTCTTAGAGACTTTGAGTCTGTGTGATTCAGATTTTTAACTCAGCTTTAGAAATTTTAGTTATTATGTCAACAGTGTGACAGGTTATGTTGATGTCTAGCTCTGAGGCACCATGCCGCAGACATGTAACATCAAGTTCCACCCAGTCACATTATCCTGACACCAGGTCAACCAATCCTAACACTAACCTTTTACTGCTTCGCGCCATTCTTTTATGTATATGGTCTAAACTAGACCGGGGATCGAACCCGCGATATTCCGCATCCGAGGCGAACGTAATCACTTTGGTCACCATATTGATTGACTATTAGATCAAACATGCCTATTATATAGGACGTGAAAATTAGATAGAACACGCCTGTTCAATAGAACATACCTATTAGACATAACAAACATATTGAAGAGAACATTCCTGTTAGAGAGAACATGCCTATTCGATAGAACATGAAAATTGGATAGAACACGCCTGTTCCATAAAACATACTTATGCACATGAAAATTAGAACACGCCAGTTCAATAGAACATGCTTATTAGACAGAACATACCTTTTTAATAAGAAATGCCTATTAGACAGAACGAACGTATTAAATAAAAACATGTCAATTAGATAGAATAGTCCTATAAGAAAGAACATGCCTATTATTGCATGTCGCTATGCAAAATCTTCTATTGTGCAATAGTTGACTTCGTCACAGCTTTGGCTGCATTGCCTGCTCTCTATTGACAGATAATACCATTATGACAAAACAGACAACACTGCCTGTAATTCTGGCCGCAAAAAAAGGCAGATGTATCCGATAGCCGGTTCAAGATGGTGTTGCGGGGTATCACCTCTGAAACATATTTAAGTGTATCTGTAGTTGACGTTCAACAGAATGTATGCTTCGAGATATAAAAAGGTAATAAGTTGTAAAAGTACAATGAGTTTAAGGCCTTTGAATGTTCTAAATTTGAATAGTTAAAAGGCTCTCTCTCTCTCTCTCTCTCTCTCTCTCTCTCTCTCTCTCTCTCTCTCTCTCTCTCTCTCTCTCTCTCATGATGAACTTATCTTAAAATACATAAAGAATGTTAACTCTTTAGTATGCATATGTAATTAATGAGAACACGCCGTCAAGAATACCTTAAAGTGATCCCCATTCAACAAAACCTGGTTCTAGCATTAATTTTTTATAATTAGTTTCCACATTTGTTGTGCATATTATTAGTGGCTGAATTTACATTGCCTGTCGCTATTCGATTGAGTGGTAAGTATTGTTACGAAACCAAAGCCAAACATTCCTTCTGATTGTGAAGT